GTGCTGGGGGTGGCATAGACTATTATTCTTCTGACTTTTTAAAAATAGATTTTTATGGACTTCAGAGAGGAAGGGAGTGGGAGAGAGACAGCAACATCAATGTTGAGAGAGAATCATGGATCGGCTGCCTCCTGCAGGCCCCACACTGGGGATCAAGCCCGCAACCTGGGCGTGTGCCCTGCCCGGGAATCGAACTGTGACCTCGCCGCCGCCGCCGGGTTACTCTCCTTACTCTTGTTCTGGGTTGGAAAGTTTCATAAGAAACTGCTCTTTATAAAAAATGGCCCGAGGAACTTCTGAGTCGTCTCTGAGCCGCTATCTTCCTGCCACCTGGTACCAGAAGCATTTCGCTAACGAGCCCCCTCCCAAGCCAGGCCCACGTGGCGGCTCGGACGGAGCCTGATTAACTGGACCCCTGGGCTGTGTCCGTCTGTCTCCCTTTCAGACACGAGCCTCCAGAGAGCACTGCTCACAGTGAAAACTGCCCGTGGCAACAGCCAGCCAACCCCTCCCCGCAAAGGACAGAGGGCCCGGCAGGTGGCGCCTTACCTCCGCGAGGGCCCCTCAGTTCTCCGCTTTCTGGGGCTCCGCTGCTGGGAAGGAAACAGACAGACCATCGACAGGGCCCCTCTCCTCAGCGGCCCTGCGGCAGCCGCACCACTGCCGACTCTGGGGGAGCCGACCCACAGGGCAGAGGTGCCTGGGGTGGGACTTCGGGTCACACAGGCCGGGGGCACAGGGCACATTCCTGAACGTTGGACGGGACGCCCGCCTCATGGACCGTGGGCACATGCCATGAGACGGGGGCTGTGACACGCGGTGCCATGCCTGACACTGAGCAGACACCCGCAAACAGCCATCGGAAGGGGCCTGTCGGGGGTCGGGCGGGAGGGACGGGCAGGCGGCCGGGACATACCATTCGCAGTGATGAGGTTCTCCACCTGGGCCTCCTCGTCGCCCGGGGCCCTGCAGGGGGACAAGCCAGTCTCCGTCAGGGGCCAGGGCGAGCCCTGCTCCTCTGGGGTCAGCCCTCCACCCGCACGGGGCTCAGGGGGAGGGAGAAGTTGGGGCTGAAGGGCAGAGCCAGGGGACGCACAGGCACCCTTCAGTGTCAGCCCCCGAGAACTGACTGGGAAGGGGTGACCCAGGGCCCCCCGGGGCTTGGGCTGGCCCTGCCGGCTTTGGGCTTCTGAGGCCCAGTGCTCCCCTGGTCATGGCGGTGGCCAGGGCTGTGGTGACGGGAGCCAGGCTTCTACTCAGCTCAGAGAGCCTCAGCGACCAGCTGGCCCGTGTCACAGAGCCTGAGGGGAGGAGAGGGCCTCACGGGAGGCCCGAGGCCTCTGCCCCTTCTCTCGGATCCGGCACCTTCCTGCCCACTCCCGCCCCACGCTCATCGGAATGGAGGAGCTAACCGTCGAGTCCGCCTGGCAACCCTCAACACTCTGCCCCACCTCCAGGCACACGGCCTGTTTCCCAGTTTCCGAGGTAAGAACCTAAAAACACTCAAGTGGGTGCCACACCGGGAGGCTCCTCCCCACCCCCCTTCCCCCCGCCACCCGAATGTCCACACCAGGGCGCCCTTACCTGGGCTTCTGGCTGAAGCTGCACTTGCACCTGCGACCTGAAAGGCAAAGAAACCACCCGAGGTCATCCTCCGACTTGCGTTCAAGGTCATGCTCCTGCTTGGCCACAGCTGCCCCGGAGCAGGTGCAGGCTGGGGTGCCGGGCACGGCCTAGGTGGGGGAGGGCTCTTCTGAGGCCCAGGATCAGCAACAGCTCGGAGGGCTACACCCCACCCCAGGGTCTGCTGGTGGTGCGAGTGCAGAGGGCTCCCTGCAGACCAGGCTTACCCGGGGCAAACAAACCCGGGGGACCATCCCTCAGGGTGCCCTCCAGACAGGACAGGCTGTGTCCTATGGCCTGAGACACCCCCACTCACACCCTTCTGGGCACAGCACCAGGGGCCACCTGCTCCTTCTCATCTGCGCTTATTTTCACTGAGCATGTACTTGTTCCTACTTCCCTGTTTTACTGAGCACCTATTATGTGCCAGCACGCAGTAGGTCCTAGAGATACAGGGAGAACAGACAGGCTCCCACGCTGCTCTCTCTCCCCACCGCTGAGCAGAGACCCTGCTCTTCCTGGGTGAACAGAGAAACTTACTCAGGATGAGGAGGATGCCGACCGAGAAGAAGACCACGGCAAACACCAATCCCCCGATCCGCAGGGTCTGGTAATCTGTGGAAGGAACAGGGAGGAATGGGAGAAGAGGAAGGGCCAGGAGCGCTGCCTGTCCCTCACCGGATGGGCTGTGCCTCCTCACGCGCCCACCCCCCCCCCGCCCCCAGGGAGGCCCTCACCACTCACCATAATGAAAAGGGTCCTGTTCCTTCTGCTCACCGGCTGCAAAAGTAAACCAGCCTGGTCAAGAGGAGACACCTGCCCCGGCCTCCCTCCCGCAAAGGGCTCTGGGAAGCAGGCAGGCTGCCCGCTGGCCGAGGGCAGGCACATGGGAGCCCCGGCGAGAAGTGCTCACAGTACAGCAGTTACGGTCCCTTATTCTCATGTCATCGCTCCTCCTTACCGATGAGGAAGCTGAGGCCCAGGGCAAACACGGGCCGGCACAGGCCAGAGGCTGGACTCCCGTGCCGGCCCAACACCTCCAGGGGCTGGTGATCTGAGGCTTAAAGGCAGAGCCTGCGGGAGCCTGGGAGGGGCAGGCTAGGGGAGGGCCGGGGATCGCCGCGCCTCCCAGGACTTCCTCTGCTGACTCGGGGGGCAGGGCGGACCAGACGTGCAGACTCTGAGAGTCCCAACCCTAGAGCCCAGGAGCCAGGACCTCCCGCCAGAACAGAACAGGCCACAGCGCCGGGTGCGGAGCTGGTCCCGTGCCTACTCACCGCTGGCCAGGACGGTGGGGGCCAGCAGGCCGCACAGCAGGATGAGCAGCACCTCCATGGCGTCTGGGAAGAGGGAGGAGAAGCAATGCCCTGGGCAGGAGACCCCTGCTCCGACCCCCAGCCCGACCCTCAGCCCGACCAGGCCAGCGAACCCCACTGTTCCAAGCGCTCCCCACATGGCGGGAGTGCAGACCGGGCAGAGGCCATGGACACGGCTCCCACGCGGTGCTCTCCCGCACTGACCCGTCACCGCCTGCACCCACTCGGTCAGCGGCCACCGGACTGACCCCTCTGAGGGAAGGACCGGAGCTCAGAGGTAAGCGACACCCAGGATGGCGAGAGCAGCAGCTGGGGTCCCGCAGCCCAGCCGCTCCCCGCCGCCTGCCTCTCGGGCCCCGAAGCCACGCGGCCTAGTGGCTTGCAGATGAGCCCTCCGGTTACCCCCTCAGCTCTGGCTCTTATGATGCCTGGGACTCCACCTGGGACTCCGGGCCTGGTCCCCACAGCCTGACGCACTGCTGGCCGTTCTGCCTCCCACGAGGTTAGATGCTGCCCGGACACTGTGCCAGCTCCGGTCCAGCCGGCGGTGGGCAGCCCTGAAACGCAGGCAGCTCCCCCAAGTCACCCTCACACGCCCCCCTCCGTGCCCACGGGCTCCGGGCACAGTCCTCCAGAGGCAGTTTCACTAAACGGAGGGGTGGAGGCGGGCTCTCTGGGCATCGATGCCCAGGCCCCCGCCCCGGAGACGCAGAGACCGGGCTCTGGGCACCACCTCAGGACGGCCCTGGATGTGTGCAGAGGACAGGCCGCCTGCCCCTCCCGGGACGGGTGTCAGTGGTCACACACACCTCACTCCTGGGCGTAAGGGGTGCGGTGAAAAGCCACAGAGGACAAGGGGGAACCCGAACCAGGGAAGCCAAGTTGTCTGCTCTTCCCCCGGGGGGTGCGACTGGCAGTGGCCGGACCTCCTGGACATCTGCCCGGTGGTCAGGACCAGGCTGTGCCCAGGGATCTCGCCCTCGTACTCCCCCTGGCCCACGCCAGCGCCCAGTGCCCTTCCCCTCTCGGCCACCAGAGGTCAGCCTCTGCACCCAGCACACAGGCACAGACTCCAAGGAGATACTTCAAAAGGCACTTTTGCTTCTAATGGTACCTCATTTAATAACTGTATTTCTTTTAAATTTTACATTATATTTTACATGCATTCAGAATATATAACACACACACTAAAGCACAGTAATAAGATAAACACCCACAGGTGAGTAACTTCAGAACTAGAACCTCACAAGTACTGCTGCACTTACTAGCTATTCCTCCCTCCTGCCCTCTCCGCCTGCCCCACTCCCAGAGGGAAACAGTACCCTGAACATATATATTTTTAATGGTTCCCTCGCTCCACTTCAGAAAAGGCTTTACAGTCACAAATCACAAGCCATAAAGCTCACCATTTGAAAGGGTATAGCTCAATGGCTTTTCGTATATTCACAGAATTGTACAAGCATATCATCAGTTTCAGAACATTTTCATCGCCCCCTGAAGAAACCTGTCCCCCTGTCAGCCACTCCCATTCTCCCTCCCCCGACAGCCACTCATCTACTCTGTCCCTATGGCCCTGCCTGCCCTGGACATTTCATATTTTAAAAAACCATAAACATGTGTCTTTTCACACCTGATTTCTTTCCTTAGCATGTTTCAAGGCTCATCCATGTTGTAGCATGTGTCAGCATGTCACTCCTTTACCCACGGTGGATGAGTACCCATCCTGCTCTTTTTAAAATAAACCTGAATAAGATACAGTTTAGTGGAGCTTTTTTGAGCTTTATAATTATGATCTATATCTTAGTGTGTGTGTTTTTTCAGTCTCCTAAATCTGGCCTTTTCTGATCAATATTTTTATTATAATTTTTTTTCAGAGAGGGAGAGGGAGAGATGGAAACTTCAATGATGAGAGAGAGTCATTGATTGGCTGCCTCCTGCACACCCCACACCAGGGATCAAGCCACAACCCGGGCATGTGCCCTGACAGGGAATCAACCATGACCTCCTGATTCACAGATTGATGCTCAAACACTGAGCCACACTGGCCTGGCTTTCTGTTCAATATTATGTTTCTAAAATTTGTCCATATTATTCCCTGTAAACACAGTCCATTCATTTTCAATGTTGTGTAATATTCCGTCCACTATGCCAGTAAATTACCTTCTCCCGTCAGCGAGCATCTTCCCTCCCCCCCCGCCCCCGTGTGTGTGCTCTTATAGATAATGCAGCTGTGAGCATTTCTGTGCACGTCGCCAGGGCGCACACACGTAAGAGTTCGTTCCAAAGGCACTGGCTTTCAAATCTCTGACATCACTGTCATAAGCAATGCTTTCTACACGGGAACCCAGTATAAATCATATTCCTCAGTACCAGAAACAGTATCACCAGATGATACGTAACTTTAAAATGAATGATGCCCTGACATTTCCTATTCTACCTTTTTATTTTAAACTAGAGGCCTGGTGCACAACATTCATGCACTTCGGGGGGGGTGTTCCCTCAGCCTGGCCTGCACCCTTTAGCAGTCTGGGAGCCTTCAGGGGATGTCCCACTGATGGCTTAGGCCCACTCCGAGGAGCGAGCCTAAGCTGTAGTCGGACATCCTTAGCGCTGCCGCAGAGGCAGGAGAGGCTCCTGCCACCACTGCTGTGCTTGCCAGCTGTCAGCCTGGCTTGTGGCTGAGCGGTGCTCCTCCAGTGGGAGTGCACTGACCACCAGGGAGCAGCTCCTGCATTAAGCATCTGCCCCCTGGTGGTCAGTGCATGTCATAGCAACTGGTTGTTCCGCTGTTTGGTTGATTTGCATATTACCCTTTTATTATATAAGACTAGAGGCCCGGTGCACAAA